CACACAGCATGCATCTAACTTGTTGTAAATTCACATTCATCCTCAATTTAGCCCTTGTATTTTTATTTCAAAACCTTGTCAAAACCGCGCGCGCGCAAATTCAAAACGCTGTTCGCTCAGCGCGCGGGTTGTTTACAAGCTGGCAACGGGCAATCTGGCGAATGGGAATCTAACATTTCTGACTTCAATTTGCAATCTATTTCAACTTCATTTCATTCATTCATTTACTTCTAAATTCAATTCGTATCAATTTCGTCTGCTAATTCGTTTAACAGTACTTGTTCGAAGACATTAAAATCTCGCGATTAAAATCTGCTGAGTAACCCTCCATGGGGGCCGCCATCTTGGATAAAGCGAGCACACAGCGAGCGCTCGTGTGTCGTTCAAGAGGCGCTGCGTTCGTGCAGCGAGCGTTTGCATCGAACGTTCGCTCTGTTGAACACGCCTCAGGAGTGTTTGCATGCCATAATTATGTTTACATATATCGTATTTGGCAGCTTGTAAGACGCCCGATGCATTATTAGACGCGCTCACCGCACACGAGGGGAACCAGCTCAAACAAAAGTTACTCGTGGCCAATTCATCACACTGTTGAGTCGTTTCCTCTCGCGGTTCGTAGACCGCGCACGAGAGGAATCAGCTCAGCACTTTTCCCACAACTCGTCAACAATAACCAATCAACAATGTCGCTGACTATTTCACTGGGCGCATTCATTTTGAAAGTAGTGAAGACGCATGCGCATTGGTATAGCGAGAGTGAGGAAACAGCTCAGTTCATCACACACGGTGAGTTTTTCGCCACGCGTGACCAAAAATATCAAACACGTTTATGGCAGGCGAGGTGGGACACAAATGGTATTTAGTGACAGTCACAAATTCGAAGTAATGTCTATCATATATTCTATTTAGTGAATATCATATATTCCATTTAGTGACAGTCATTAAATCAACCCATCAGATACAACTTATTTTTTCTCAGCCAATCATGGGCATGGAATTATTGACAAACAGTAAATGATTTAATGATAGACACAAATGGTATTTAGTGACAGTCACAAATTCGAATTAATGTCTATCATATATTCTATTTAGTGACTATCATAGATATTCCATTTAGTGACAGTCATTAAATCAACGGTATCAGATGCAACTTTACCATCCTGGTTCAGCCACAAGGTTTTCTGTGAATTGGTTTACAATGAGTTCACATATTTGCCGACGTCGTCAGACAAGATGAAAATAAGACAGGGTAATGCTTTACATAAGTTTATTGTTTGAAATTAATAATATATAGTGCTATCATGTACGTTTTTCGTTAATTTTTTCTAAATTTTGATTACCACAAAATGTTTCATTTTTCTGTGATAGAGAAGCTATATATATATAAGCAGAAATCTATTACAATGTAGTTACAATAGTATGAAGGAAAGTTTAAATTTATGTAGCCTATATGTATATTTTATGTATATCCTTTAGCAGATGGTTGAAAGTAGTGTATATGAAATACAGCCTTAAACCAATAAGCAGTATGAATAAATGGATAGTTCCAAGTTTCTTCGTGAGGTCTTGAATCAAACATTGAATTCACCACATTAGGCAATACCCAAGAGTAAAGTGTACGAAATTAATTATTACAATATAAAAAATATATATATCCACATTGGGGTGTGAATTGTCAATAGTAATGCCGAAGCAGCAAGTTGGAGATCTCACGTTTACTAATTATGGTTGTACCTTAGCAGCATTTCACACATGGTGAATGACCATTTCATTACTTGAGTTAACATTCACGCGACAGAATTCCTATGTTGCAACAACGATTCATTGCGTAAACGTTGGCCACAATTCCTGGGCAGGTTGTCAGAAACATCGTAACGTATGTTAAGACTATTGACGACGAATAGACGACGAATTATTAGACGACGATATTAGAATATATAGACGACGATATTAGACATATTAAACGACGAATTTTGTTTCTGATAACGGGCCCCTGGCTTCGTTTGTTCGTGTCTTTATCATAATGCGAAAGTGGGTAAGCACACAATGCCAGTGTAGTTCTTCCTTTATTTACTTCAATATAGCACGTTGCTGAGGGACAGACAGAGAGCACGCGTGCGTGTGAGATGGAGGGTGGTAGCGAAAGAAGGAGGAAGTGGGGGGAAGGCAATAAGCAGTGAACGTGATTCACGTAAATACGATGACGCAGCACCGCGTCCACGTAACTTTTCTAGATGATCAGTGCTGCAGTCCGCTGGACAATCTATTTCACCCGCTCGCTGCCGTGCTGGCTTGTCACAGTCAGTGCGTGATGGGGATCCAGTTGTTGTCCTGGATGACATTGGCGCCAGGACTTGCATCGGGAATGCTGTTGCACTGAGGCATTCTTCCTTTGGTCTCGCTGCCCGCAATCGTCTTGCCATTTCGCTCGGTGCAGAAACAGCGACCTAGCGAATAGATGTTTAAAACTCGTATCATTGAACATTCAGGTAATTTCTTTCATTTCTCAGCAAGATACTCGACGGTTGCAAAAAAAGCAGTGTGCAACGGTTTATTCTTTGTATTAGCGAAAAACTCGTCTCGATGAGGAAGGTTATAGAAGTGAAATTCGTGAATATTTTCACTAGCGTACCAATCCAAACATTTTGTAGTTTGTACGTTTTTAGTTCGTTGCGCTAAAACATGTTTGATGACGTTTTTGCTGGGTATTGGTTAATTTATCAAATATTAAAAATTAGTTTCATTTGTCACTTACCATCATTCGTACACTGCTCTGTCTCGTATGAACCATCAAATAGGCTGCACTTTGGGATCCAGATGTCAAACATCAGGACAGGAGGTGCTGACAGTGCCATCTCTCGGTGCATCTGGCACTTTGACATTTGTGTAAAGTCAAAGCCGAAGGGTATGCCTTGTCGTTTTACGGATGGTAATCTGATATACCTAAAAAAAAATGTTGCGCAGCGTGTGAAATATCCGTCGGTGCGGGCCACACGTTTGAAAGAAGTACGTCGTACTACTACTACTACTACTAACTGGCACTGCCTGGACTCGCTGCTACTGTTGCTGCTGCTGCTGGCTGCTGGCTACTTGCTCTACTGCTCTCGCTGGCTTCTGCGTACTGCCCTACTACTACGCGCTGCTTCTGCTTCTCCTACCTGCTTACTACCTACTCTGCTGATCTGGCTACTACTGCCTAACTTGCTGACTGCTACTGCTACGCTACTACTCTGCTGTTCTCTAGCCTACTACTCCTGCTGCTTTCTGCTACTGAATACTATATCTGGGATTCTGCTACTACTGCTTACTGCCACTGCCCACCTGCCACTGCCACTGCTGCGGCTGCCTACTGCTACTGATCCATCTACTACTGTGCCTGTTCTGCCTACTACTGCTACTGCCCACGCACTGCCACTGCCACTGCTGCCTGCTGCTACTTGACTGACTACTGCTGCTTCTGCTCTCGCCTTTCTGCCTTTACTGCTACTGATACTACTACTGCTGATTCTGCTACTACTGCTACTGCCACTGCCACTGCCACTGCCACTGCTGCTGCTGCTTCTGCTACTGATACTACTACTGCTGATTCTGCTAACTATCGTACTCACTGCCCACCTGCCACTGCCACTGCCTGCTGCGATGGCTACTGCTACTACCTGCCTGCTTGCTGCTTCTGCTCTGTACTGCTACTGCCCTACTACTACTGTCGCTTATCGTGCTACTGCTACTGCCTACTGACTACTGCTGCTGTTTCTGCTACTACTACTGCCCTGCTTCTGCCTACTGATACTACTACTAGCTACTGCTACTGCCACTGCCACTGCTGCTGCTGCTACTGCTACTACTGCACTGCTTCTGCTTCTGCTACTGCTACTACTACTGCTGCTTCTGCTTCTGCTACTACTACTGCTGCTTCTGCTACTACTACTGCTGATTCTGCTACTACTGCTACTGCTACTGCTGCTACTCCTGCTTCTGATACTACTATGGTTCCTCGTGATTACTATAGGTGTTGATTGATCAAATAATCCCGTTACATCAGGGCGGATATGACTGTGAAAGCATGTACTGAACGACATACTATGGCAGGCGAGGTGGGACACAAATGGTATTTAGTGACGGTCACAAATTCGAATTAATGTCTATCATATATTCTATCATCTATGTAAGACACTAAAGGATTTAGTGTTTGTCAATAAATGATTTAGTGACAGTCATTAAATCACTTAGTGTCTTACACTAAATCATTTAGTGTATATCATTAAATCATTTAATGTTTGTCAATAATTCCATGCCTATGAATGGCTGAGAAAAAAATAAGTTGTATCTGATTGGTTGATTTAATGACTGTCACTAAATACCATTTGTCTCCCACATAGCCTGCCATAAACGACAGCTAAAGCCATCTCTTACACCAGTAAATGTTATGGCGTTGGCCCAAGACAATCATTTCAACGCGTTCTAACAATTAGTGTGCTGTCTCATATTAGGCATATATAATGTCATATATGTCCTATTTAGGCAGCCTAAATTAGATTAGATTAGATTATATTAGACTAGACTTAATTTAGTATTGAAATTATTATAATAATTAAGTTTAACTGCTGGCGTTAGTAGAAGGGCATGAACAGACTATAAAGACATTATGAATAAGTTGGAAGGCGGTACTATACCGCGTGTGCTGGCGATTACAACTGTAAACGGCATGGCAGGAGTGTTGTGAAATTATATATATAATATATAATATGAGTGTCATAATATAGATAATATAATAATATAGAGCTATATTTATGACACTGCTGATTTCATTGCTAACGTAGAAACCGTCACATGGGCAGAAGAGATGTTGTCGAATTAAATCTAAATATTAAATTCATATCTAGCTACTAACGATACACGAGTGACCAGCCTATGGCAATTGTCTGGTTCGAGATATCAAACATTTCCGATCTTCAGAAACATTGTTCGGAACAAATGTTCGGCGACTTTTTTCACCGCACATTGCCGAACATTTCATGGAACATTGCTACGATAATGTTTTTGAGCAAAATGTTCGGCAATGTGCGCCGGGCTTAACGTCGCGTTCGTGCGTGTGCGTGCACGCGCGCGTTTGGTAGACAGCGCCGTCTGTAGTAGTTAAAAAGTGTGGGGGGGGCAATTCGATAAGAATCAGTGCCAATTGTACCCATCCTACTCCTGTCTCCCTCGTATTCTGCAGCTAACGTCTCGAATACTTGTTTCCTCTTTGAGTGCATTACCTGACTTGAAATTATTTGTTTAATTCAATATGAAAACTAATCATCTCTCGTGCTCGCATACTTTTAAAAATAGTGAAGATTTGTTCCAAGCAAATACGAAGGATGTCGTATACGCACTTTAATTTCATTACCTGAACGGGCAAATTGCAATTTTGCGCTCAATTCGGCTATTTAATTACTTGCAAGCGCAGTTCGAATAAGCAAACGCAATATTACTACCGGTATGCGCAGCCTTTAACGTACGTCCGTGACTTCATGCGACCATGAGAGCTTTCGGGAAAGCTTACAAGAGCTGCTGCATTATTGCACAGGTCGGATGTTGACTAAAGATAACAACGACAGCAGATTCCACTTATATAGATTTGATTTTGCAGAAGGTAGAGAGTTGGGGCGGGGGAAATTAATAGATAGCGACCAAACATAGGAGATTTAGCGCACACGAGAGAGTAGGAGAGAGGGAGGAAGGGAGAGAGTGACAAATAACACGAGTGTGTAAGAGAAGAAAGCGGGAGTGAGAGCGAAGAATAACATAAAGAGAGAGAGAGAGAAATGGAGGGATGGTGAACGGGTGAGAGAGCGAAACTGAACGGGTGAGAGGGAGAGAGACTGAACGGGTGAGAGGGAGAGAGACTGAACGGGTGAGAGGGAGAGAGACTGGGCAAAA